GGATTTCGAGTTTAGGGTTTCGGATAAAATTAGCTGGCTCGTGGGATGATGTTGTAGGATGGTGTAGTTTAGGCCGCCACAGATTGGTTGCACCCAGCACGCATGAGTGGAGCAAGTCCTGGGTTGACAGGAAAGGGGCGTTCGCCCCAAGAATTGGACATCAAATGGAAAAGAACATGGGAAAGTTAATGGAATCTGAGCGTGTGTATGTTTTGGTATGAGTCTATTTATATATATATATGCAGATATAGCGGACGGGTTGTTGTATAAGAGAACCTATAGTTTGGGTTGCGTTTTCAAGCACCACCCAGATCTTAAATCATGGACGCTGAAGCTTTCGCACCCCGAAACACCATCCCTAAACCCCATGCCTTATCCCGAGGCTTCCCAAAGTTAGGACCCTTCTATAGCCTTGATACTCATAAAGCCCTAATTCTAGGAGTCAGGCTTGCCAAGCTCTGAAGCTTCAACCCTAANNTAACAGCCCTGCCAAAGGTTGGGCAGCAAGTCCTACAGCTTGGCGAGACTGCGTCCAAGACGGCAGTCAAGGCACTACCTAGTCGTGGCATTGTAACGCGGGGGCTTCGACCCCAGGGTTCAGCGTCTAGTGAATCTAGGGTTCCTTGAAAATTGCAGTGAGTTTCTGGGAAGTACAGTTTACAGTACATGCCTGCCGGCAAGTATGTCAAAACTTCCTTGAACCGTAAGCCGCTTGGAAGGGTCTCAGGATCCAGCTTTGGAAAAGGCACTAGGGATACTAGGGAAGGTTTCGAGGGGTAGGTCTAGAAGAAGTAGTAAGGCTGTTCGGAAGTTTCGGAGAACTAGGGTCGTGCTGTGTGCGAATAACCATGGGATCCTATACTATATCGCCCCCACTTGCGCCCCTCACCTGACTAACGCTTAAATGAGCCTGTTTAGGCTTATTCGGGTTCTACTTTGGGGGATAGTACAGGATCCCATAGATCCCATACATAGCACCATCTGAACTTCGCCCTAAACCCTAAACCGTGTCAGTT